ATAATTGATTAGAGGCAGATCTTGGTGTGCTACGATTTCAATATCGGTAAAAAAAAAAAACTTTAATCCTCAGAGCTTTGAACCATGCTCTCATACCATGAACAAAGTGAAATGTAAAACTGATATTCAATCAATTAATCATCCAAAATCACAAACGAAATGGGAGTGATCTCCATCATATATAGATGGAGAGAACACAGTCTAAACCAATCAAAAAGAAACAGCTAAGCACTAACAAAAATAACAGAAAAATGAAGTAAAACGTGGGAGGAAAAACGTAATAGAAGAAACACGATTTATCTCCTTTATTCCCTAAAACTGGACTCTGAAACTGGGCTTCACAATTGGACTGGGCTTCAGTGGCTACAGCCCGGAATACTCCATCAATTCGCCTGTAATTCCTTCAATATAACCATAAGGTAAGGATTTGGGATGTTCGGGTTTCAAATTCGGGGTATGTTATGGAACTAAACCGTGAAAAACCAATAATTTTAGACGATTGCAATGTCCACGTAGTGGAAACTTACAGTATAAACTACTAATAAAATTGAGTGCTATCAAACTTCTTACAAAATGCTATTTTGTTGACTAGCTTTCATTTCAACATATTTGCTTCATAAATGTCAAAGGGAGGGAAGCAATGCAAGTGAACAATCGGATCTCGAAATTTTGTGATTTAAGTTGCTAGTGTTCTGAATTTCAGAATAGTTGTCCCTATTCATGATTTGCTATGGGTGTTTTGGTGTTTACGGTAACACCGAGCTGAATGTAGTACAAATGATTTAGTGAATTTTTGTTTCTCAAAATGAATTTCTTATGTTTGTATATTTGTTTTCCGTGGAACAGGCTTGGAAGGGTCTTCAGGTGCTGATGAGATAAGAGAAAGAAAATCTAATTTTGAGTATTCTGTGGTGATTTTGTGAAGATATGGGATGTGAATGGAGGTGGAAAATTGTTGTATTCGATGGAGAGTTATAATAACTGTGACTTAATTGTTCTTGTTGAATGGGTGCCCAGATTTGTTCTTAATTTGGGTGAGTTTTGGCTAGAATTGTTCCTAATGGGGGCAGGGGTGAGTTTTGGGAAGAATGTGAAATTTGATGGGTTATTTGTACTTTTTAAAAAGTTTGGGCTATAGTTACATTTATTCTTTATTTTTCTTTTCTTTTGTGTTTTTTTATTTTAATGGAAGGGTAAAATGATCAAAAAAGACGAAAAGGACATTCTAAGCAAAAAATGTGAAAGGTAGGGACATTTTGTGCCAAAAAACGAAAGGTAGGGACGTTTTACACAAAACCATGCAAAGGTATAGACGTTTTGCGTCAATTACCTCATCTTTTGCCAACAAAAAAGAAAAATTGACCTCTTAGTGGAAATTTTTCCAAAATTCAAATTTTTACTTAGAATTACTTAGGGTGTATTTGATTGTAAATATGGAAAATGGGTGGAAAAAAAATATTTTATAGGGAAAAGATTTCGTTTGGCTTTGTTTTATATGAAATTGTCCATTAAAGTGATATTTTTTTTCACAATAGGTTATAAAATTTGTTTCCATTGCCAATAAGTAAAAAAAAAGGAAAAAGATTGTTTCCTAAAAAATCATTTTTTAATCAAAATTTAGTGTTCGTTTGATTTTGTTTTATATGAAAATTGTCCATTAAAGTGAATTTTTTTTACCATTAATTATGACATTTGTTTCCATTGCCCATGAAAAGTGAAAAATATTTTCCTACTTCTCCGAAAAATGTAGCCTATCAAACACGGCCTTATATTTTTAGAGGGAAAATATTTGACTTGTTTATGGATCGAGTCGGTTATGGGTTAAAACCCGACCCAACACTTCAATTGATTTAAAGTTCTAAACTTGAAAAAGAAATTGAAACCTAACCATACTCTCTCTTTTGTTTGCCCATTTGCACCCCAAAAAAAACCCTACACTCTTCCATCACAATTTACGAAGGCAAGTTTCTTCTTCTTCCTCTCACCGCCGATCGCCCACTCCGGATTGAGCGATCACGGGAAATGTTATTCAGGTGGATCAAAGTTTATGTCTTATGCACTTTATAGTTTGACTACAGAAATATCAAAGTTTACGTCTTTATGCACTTTCTTGTTCGATTAAGCAGATGCCTTTATTCAGGTTTGATTGTCTGACTACAGTAAATGATTGATTGACCAGTAGACGCTGTTTTGTTTTTGGGTTTATTACTAGCATTTGTACTCTGATGTGAGCTTGTAATTAAGTTTTAGTTTTTATTACCTGGGCTGTATTTGTATGTAGTTGAATTGTTAAGTTTTGGTGCATAATTTGAATTCTGGGATGGATTTATGAGTGCTTTGGTGAAGTTGGCAGTAAAATGGTTGATTAAGATTTTATAGCTTAGAAATGATATTTATTTTTCATTACATTTTGCTTAATGGTGGAGTAAATGTATACTGAACCGTCCTTGATTTAGAAATACATTTAACCTTTCTATCTTTGGACTTGCATGAGAGTTTTTATGTGTTTTAAGAATTCAAACCAACAACGTGATTAGTTGTAGATTAATTGATTCATATGTGATCTAGAACCTACAGGAAAAGGGATGTTAATTGACCCATGCTCGATATTGTCTCTGATTTTTTTTTTTACTGTTATCCCAGGATGGGCAGTGTGACAGTGTTGGATCCGTCAAAGAAATTCAAAACAAACAGTTGAAGAGGCAAGAGGCCGCAGCTAAACGTGAAAGTGCAACGACATAGGAAGAAAAATGCCAAACTGATCCATGCTTGATATTGTCTCTGATTTTTTCTTACAGGGATTATGCCTTCTCGTGCGAACAGAAGAAAAATGATAAACTGGCCAAAATTAAAATACGGCTTTTAGTTATTTTGGCTCGAGCATTAATTCATTGACCAGACTTGGCAAATTATAATGTGTTGTACTAGAATCTGATCCGATTTCAACAGAGAACTGAAATGTCAACATTTTGTAGAGCATCAAGTCTTCTTAGAAAATGTATCGATTTCACCAAACCAACGGTTTTCATTTGTATTTACACTTCCATTTCCAGACTACACTATATCGGGGTCCAACATGATCACCGTCTATTCAATTTGTACCATTCGGTGACTCAAATTCAAAGAACTCTGGGGTTCTCACTGCCCAGATTGAATTATTCACTCAAACAAGATGTTGCCAAGACAAATTGGATGATCACTAAGTTATGTAAGGAGGGTCGAATTTATGAAGCACGCAAGTTATTTGATGAAATGCCTGACCCAGATGTGATTTCATGGACCACTTTAATTTCGGGTTACATAAAGTGTGGGATGTTGAAAGAGGCTAGAGAACTGTTTGATAGAGTTGATGCCAAGAAAAATGTGGTCACTTGGACCGCTATGATTTCAGGGTATGTTAAAATGAAGAAAATTATTGAGGCTGAGAGGCTTTTTGATGAAATGCCAGAGAAGAATGTGATTTCTTGGAACACTATGATTGATGGGTATGTGCAAAGTGATAGAATTGAAAAGGCCTTGGGGTTGTTCGAAAGGATGGAGGAGAGGAATGTGGTCTCTTGGAACACGGTGATTGCAGGGTTGGTAAATTATGGGAGGATGAAGGATGCAAGGGGCCTTTTTGATCGAATGCCTCGAAGGGATGTAATTTCTTGGACTATTATGATTTCAGGGTTCACGAGGGAAGGAAGGGTTGAGGAGGCTAGAGTGCTTTTTGATACCATGCCAGAGAGGAATGTGGTTTCTTGGAATGCAATGATTACTGGGTACACCCAAAATATGAGGTTAGATGAAGCATTCGATTTGTTTAAGAGAATGCCAGAGAAGGATGTGTCATCTTGGAATATAATGATTGCCGGATTTATTCAAAACAAGGATTTAGACGGGGCGAAGAAGTTATTTAATGAGATACCAAGGAAAAATGTTGTTTCTTGGACTGCAATGATAAATGGATACGTCCAAAATGACCAAAGCGAAGAGGCATTGAGAATGTTCTTTCGTATGAAGAAGGATTGTTGGGTGAATCCTAACGAAGGCACTTTTGTGAGTGTTTTGGCTGCTTGTAGTGATTTAGCAGGTCTTGGTGAGGGAAAGCAAGTCCACCAAGTAATTAGTAAGACAGTGTATCAGGAGAGTGAATTTGTCATATCTGCATTGATAAATATGTATTCGAAATGTGGAGAGCTGGTGATGGCTAAAAAGATGTTTGATGATGGGTTGAAAGGGAAGAGGGATGTGGTATTTTGGAATACTATGATTGCAGCGTACTCTCACCACGGATGTGGAAGAGAGGCAATCACGATGTTCAAAGAAATGCAAAATTTTGGTTTCAAACCAAATGATGCTACCTATGTCGGATTGCTTTCTGCTTGCAGCCATGCTGGTCTGGTGGAGCAAGGGTTGAATTACTTTGACATGCTTTTGAGAGACGAGTGCATAGAAGTGAAAGACGATCATTATACATGCCTTGTAGATCTCTGTGGTAGAGCTGGGAGGCTCAAAGAGGCATTTGATCTTATAGAACAGCTCCCTAACAAAGTATCAGCAGGTGTTTGGGGGGCTCTTCTTGCGGGATGCAACATTCATGGGGATGAGGATGTAGGAAAACTAGCAGCAAACAAATTTTTGGATATGGAGCCAGAAAATGCGGGCACTTATATGCTTTTGTCTAATATATATGCTTCTAGCGGGAAATGGAATGAGGCAGCATTCCACAGATTGAAGATGAAGGAGAAAGGGTTGAAAAAACAGCCAGGTTGTAGTTGGATTGAAGTTGGGAACAGATTTCATGTTTTTGTTGTTGGTGATAAATCTCGTACCGAAAGCAAGATCATGTGTCTCTTACTTTTTGATCTTCATAAGAAAATGAAGAAGATGGGTTCTGTTCCATTGCACGATATGATAATAGAAGAGGGTTTTTTAGCAATTTAAGTATATTTTTGAAGTCTCCCCCAATGTGATGATGGTGTTTATGCCAAAAAAGATTCTGGTGCTCAGAAAAGATGAATTCAGTTGCAGTGACTATTAGTCGTGGGTGTTTTGAGTATGGACTTGAGACTTCATGTATGTGTGCTAAAGACACTGGGCTCAGATAGTCATTTCCTTTCTCTGATTTACGTAAGTTGGCTGTTTCTATTGATAATGTGCAACTGTTAATGAGAGCACAGAGTGATTACAATTGGTTTTTTGCAAAACGGAAAAGAGAATGATTTATTGCCATTGGTGATGGATTGTTGGAAGTAATTTTGATTCAAATCAGACATCAATGACTGTTTTGCTAAGATCGGACAGGTATTTGTAAATTCTTATCCGATTTCTTTGTTCAGTCAATAGTTCATGCGCCACCTTACATTTTTGTGAAGACAAACCTGTGCAGAGGTCATTAGACACTTAAAGCAGCTAAACGGCACTATTAACAAGATTTTAGGTTTTTCTTATTTAATATTTTCCTGTCTATTAACAAGATTTTAGGTCTATTCTCTTTTGTTATTTCGTTTGGCTCACCGCGTACTAATTGCATATTATGATTCTATGTTATAAGATGTCTCGAAGCAATAGACCAACTTAACACGTCCCTCTTTTACTTTTGTAGTTGTACTGAAATTTTTTAGAGAAAATAATAATTTGATGAGGAACATGAATCATGATTGTACGTTCCATAAAAAATTGTTTTTCTCCTTGCGAAATTTGGATTACAAATTTTTTGGTTTAGGAAAGACTTGGACAATTTCTTAAATAAAAGTTACTTCTCACCTGTGAAACAGAGCTTTGAATTTTTCCATATAACGTCTGAAGGGGTTCGGTATTCTGTTGGCAGTGTATGCACCTTGTCTACACCGGGCCATTTATGTTTGTCAGGTTTATGCAAATGAATGTATGTAACTATTGTGGAGCTGAAGGTGAATTTCAAAGATGACCACACTTTCTTGGCTACGACGTCTGCTCACAACTTCTCATATGTTCACATCCCCTTTTAAGAGATCTAAGGAAAAAGTACGTGTTTCAACTATTTACATAAAGTTATAAGGTGATGATTTGACGCAATATCGTGTAGTATACTGTGCTCGTTTTGGTCTGCAAAAAAATTGATAAACATCCCCTTCATTTACTTGTGTATATGTTTACATTGAATGTGTGGCTTCGGGGTTGATCCGTCTTGTGACTCAGTTGTTGTAGGAATTAATTTGTTGTTCATTTCTGCACAAATTTTATAATCCCGTCTCTCGAGATGGAAAATCCTACTGAAGTCATGAACAACGAGCTTGTCCCAGTGGACACACAACCCAATGAACCCATGAATTTGGATATGCAGATTGACGATTTAGAGACTCAAATCATCAACACAGAGACACCAGTCAATAATATAGAGGCACAACCCACGAGATGTAGGAAAAAAGTCCATAGTTTGGGAACATTTCACTATTGAAATAAGTTGGTGCTGGTACTAGAAGGGCATGCTGTAAGCAATGCAAGCAGTCATTTGCATACAACATAGGCTCTAAGGTAGCTGGCACAAGTCATCTCAAAAGGCACATAGCAAGGGAACTTGCCCAGTTGTCTTGCATAATCAGGAGAAAAATCAGTTAACCTGTCATACTGCCCATTCAAAGACGGGTACATATTCTGATACACCGAAACAACGTTATCGAATGGCCAGCGTACCTCACTTTGCATTTGATCCAGATCGGTGTTGACATGAGATTGCTAGGATGATAATTAAGCATGACTACCCACTTCATATTGTTGAACACCCTGGTTTTGTGGCATTTGTTCACAATCTTCAGCCTCGTTTTGACATGGTGAGCTTCAACACTGTACAAGGGGATTGTGTGGCTACCTTAGGGAAAAGCAGAACATTCAGAAGCTGTTTGAGGGGATGCCTGGGCGTATCTGTCTTTCTCTGGACTTGTGGTCTTCATGCCAAACTACGGGCTACATGTTTGTAACTGGGCAGTTCATCGATAGTGACTGGAAAATGCACTGTAAACTCCTAAATGTCATAATGGAACCATATCCCGATTCAGCTACTGCTTTCAGTCATTCTGTTGCTGCTCGTCTTTTTGATTGTAGTATGGATGGCAGGTTATTTTCTGTAGCCATCAATCAACCGCTGAATGATGCTGCAGTTGATAATCTTAGAGCTATACTCTCTGTTAAGAACCTCCTCGTTCTTAATGGTCAATTGTTGGTCGGAAATTGCGTTGCTCGATCTCTAAGCAGCGTAGTCCAAGATGCACTAACTTCTGTGCAGGAGATTGTGAATAAAGTCAGAGATAGTGTCAAGTATGTGAAAACTTCAGATTCACGTGAGGAGAGTTTCTTGAGCTGAAACAGCAACTTCAAGTGCCAAGTGCAAAGAGCCTTGCTATTGATGACTAAACTCAGTGGAACACAACTTACGAAATGTTGTTGGCTGCATTGGAGTTAAAGGAAGTCTTCTCTTGTTTGGACACTTCTGATCCTGATTACAAGGATGCCCTGTCGATGGAAGATTGGAAGCAGATTGAGACTCTATGTACTTACTTGAAACCCCTCTTTGACACAGCCAATTTCCTCACAGCCCAAAATACTGGACACTTACATCTTTAATGAGCTTAAATTTTTTTTTAAAGAAATCTCTCAATAGTTTTTTAGTAAGCTTATAATTAAAAAATTAATTTTCTTGCATTTTTTTCTTAACTCTACTGCATTGCAAAAAAAAAAAAAAAATTGATCTTAAAAAAATTTTAAAAAATGGATTTTTATGAAAAAGAGGCATATGAGAGTTAGACAAGGTTGGCCCTAAGATATTCGAGGTCCCATGCGACAAATTATTACGACGCACTTAAATATAATTTTTTTAGATCCTAACAAGGACTTTCTTAAATATATTTTTTTCTCCTTCTTCTTCAATCTTCGGAATGCTGTCTCATTCCATTTCCCGCTAAAAGCATATATATTAGATAAAAGCATTTAAGTGCATGTATTTTTTTCTCCATATTTAAAAGTTTGTTTGCTGTTAGTTTTCCTTCATTCTCATTCTCATCCTCATGAATGTTGCATCCTCGCAAGAAGAGCCCCCCAAACACCTGCTGATATTTTGTTTGGGAGCTGTTTTATAAGATCATATGCCTCCTTGAGCCTCCTTGCTCTACCACAGAGATCGACAAGGCTTGTATCATGATCATCTCTTACTTCTATGCACTCGTCTCTCAAAAGCATATCAAAGTACTTCAACCCTAACTTCATCATACCAGCATGGCTGCAAGAAAAAAAAGCAATCTGACATAGGTAGCATCTTTTGGCTTGAAACCAATATTTTGCATTCTTTAAACACCGTGATTACCTCTCTTCCACATCCGTGGTGAGAGTACCCTGCATAGTATTCCAGGAGACCAAATCCCTCTTCCCTTTCAACCCATCCTCAAACATCTTTCTAGCTATCACCAGCTCTCCACATTTTGAATACATATTTATCAATGCAGATATCACAAATTTATTTTCCTGATAGACTGTCTTGCTAATTACTTGGTGGACTCGCTTTTCCTCTCCACGACCTGCTAAATTACTACAAGCAGCTAATACACTTACAAAAGTACCTTCATTAGGATTCACCCAGCTATCATTCTTCATACGAAAGAACGTTCTCAATGCCTCCTCGCTTTGGCCATCTTGAACGTATCCATTTATTATTGCAATGCAATTCAAGAAACAACATTCGTTCTTGGTATCTTATTAAATAACTTCCTCGTCCTGTCTAAATCCCTGTTTTGAATAAATCCCGCAATTATTGTATTCCAAGATGGCACATCATTATCTTAAACAAATCGAATGCTTCATCTAGCCTCATATTTTGGGTGTATGCAGTAAGGACAATGCTATGGTAACATCCCCTTTGACATAGGGGATGTCATTTGTGCCAAATGGCACCCCCTATTGGGTCCAATAGGGTGTCATTTGGCACAAATGTCAACCTCTATGTTATTTGTGATGTTCCTTTAGCATAATTCATCCAGTAATCATTGCATTCCAAGAAACCACATTTCTCTCTGGCATGATTTCAAAAAGCACTCTAGCTTCTTCAACCCTTCCTTCCCTCGCGAACCCTGAAATTATAATAGTCCAATAAATTACATCCCTTTGAGGCGTTCGATTAAATAGGCCCATTGCGTCCATCTTTCCATAATTTACCAACCCTGCAATAACTGTGTTCCAAGAGACCACGTTCCTCCCTTCTATCCTTTCGAACAACCCCAAGGCCTTTTCAATTCTATCATTTTGCACATATTCATTAATCATAGTGTTCCAAGAAATCACATTCTTCTCTGGCATTTCATCAAAAAGCCTCTCGGCCTTAAAAATTTTCTTCATTTTAACATACCACGAAATCATAGTTGTCCAAGTGACCACATTTTTCTTGGCGTCAACTCTACTTATCAGTTCTCTAGCCTCTTTCAACATCCCACACTTTATGTAACCCGAAATTAAAGTGGTCTATGAAATCACATCTAGGTCAGGCATTTCATCAAATAACTTGCGTGCTTCAAAAATTCGACCCTCTTTACATAACTTAGTGATCATCTAATTTGTTTTGGCTACATCTTGTTTGAGTGTATATCCAATTTGGGCTGTGAGAACCCCGAAGTTATTTGAATTTGAGTCACCGAGGGGTACAAATTGAATAGAAGATCATGTTGTTTGTGTGTAATTTAATCTGGGCAGTGAGAGCCCCAGAGTTCTTTGAATTTGAGTCGCCGAGTGGTACCAATTGAATAGAAGATGATCATGTTGGACCCTGATATAGTGTAGTCTAAAAATGGAAGTGTAAATACGACTGAAAAGCGTTAGTTTGGTGAAATCGATACATTTTCTAAGAGGTCTTGGTGCTCTACAAAATGCTGACATTACAGTTCTCTGTTAAAATCGGATCAAATCATGTCAACGGCTTCTAGTACAGTACATTATAATTTGCATGTCTAGTCAATGAATTAATGCTTGAGCCAAAATATCTAGAAGTCGTATTTTGATTTTGGTTAGTTTAGCATTTTTCTTCTGTTCGCACGAGAAGACATAATACCTGTAAAGAAAAATATCGGCTACCTACCTATGTCGTTGCTCTTTAACGTTTAGCTGCAGCCTTTTGACTCTTCAACAATTTGTTTTGAATTTCTTCGACGAATCCAACACTGTCACACCACCCATCCTGGGATCACAGGAAAAGGAATCAGAGACAATATCGAGCTTGGGTCAACTAACATCCGTCTTCTTGTAGGTTCTAGATCACATATGAATCTCGTAATCTACAACTAATCATGTTGTTGGTTTGAGTTCTTAAACACATAAAACCTCTCATGCAAGTCCAATGACAGAAATGTTAGATGTCTTTCTAAATCAAGGACGGTTCAGTATACATTTACTCCACCATTAAGCAAAATGTAATTAAAAATAAATCTTCTACATATATTAAAAGAGCCAAAACATTGGTAGCCACGCGTCGCCTTTACCTGTCGTCGTAATTCAAATTTTTTTTTTGCCGTACCCACAAATCTATCCGCCACTCCGCTTTCTCTATTTTTACACTCAACCAACCATACCTCTTTATTCTCCTTTCTTCTTCTTCCCTTCTTCTTTAGCTAGTTTTTTTGCCGAGGATTTGAAAATGAATAGATCGGATTAATTGGCTGCAGAAGAAGGTATTCAATTCAAGATTTAATCAGGAGCAGCATATTGAGTTGCTAATTGAAGAGAAAAATTGAGAGGTGACACGTGTTTAAAAATTAGCATTCTTTTTTCTATCACAACATAATGTCATCAAATCTATTATCATTATCGATGCATTATTTATTCCAGCATTCAGCCAAGTAAATGAATATGTAAATGACATATTTCGGAATTTTTACTGATGGGTTTGGGGAAAAGTGGTAGTTTAGATGATGCTAGGAAGATTTTCGATGGTATGTGTGAAAGGACAATAGAATTATGGAAGAGAATGGTTGGTAAGTATGAGAGTGGGAAAGAGCTGTTTGATAAAATGCCTGAAATAGGTTAGTTCTTATTGTTATGAAATAGAATTATGGAAGAGAATGGTTGGTAAGTATGCGAGAGCTGTTTGACTTGAAAGAGATTTTTTTTTTTGGTTATGTTAAAGCAGGTGACATTGTGAACGCTAGAGATTTGTTTGAGCGAAATGATCATCTGGAAGAAGGGATGTTGTTGATTGAGTAAGTTCTGATTCTTTGCTATATTTTGAAAGAAAAAAACCACCCATGTCTCCGTGCCACGCGGAGATTTTTTTTTTTTTTTTTTTATCCTAATGGTAACAATAACATTTTATTTTTCACTAAACAAGAGAATTCTTTGACTGTTGAGATATAACAATAACATTTTTTCACACTAAACAAGAGACTTCTTCGACTGTTGAGATATCTCTTCATGTTCATCACCTTGCATATATTGTATTTAGCTTAGACTGTACCACAGTGTTTCAAGTTTCTGGTTTTTATTATTCGAAGTAATTTCTTTGAGATGCGTTTTGGCTTCTCCGTTCAGAATCATTCAGCAGGTGCTTCAGCAAGTATGGAGAAATTTCAGATTCAGTGATAATGTTGGATAGAATTTCTGGAAGACCACGTGGCTTTGGATTTGTCACATTTGCTGATCCAGAAGTTGCTGATAAGGTTTTGCAGGAAGAACATATCATTGATGGAAGAGTGGTAGGAATTTCTTTATCCTATTTATTCAACAGTTCCTTTTCTCCATTATGGAAGAGAACTGAGCTGGTGAATTTTATTTGGACTTGTGGCCTGGTGGAAGTGAAGAGAACAGTCCCTAGAGAGGACATGCAGGTTAGAGGAGTGTCGAAAATGAAGAAAATATTTGTCGGCGGTCTTCCACTGACATTACATGAAGGTAATTCTTGCTGATCTTCATTTATTTCACTTCCTTTCAATAGAAGATTATTATCTTTCCTGCTAACCAAATGATTTGCAATATTATATTGCAGATGAGTTGAAGGAGTATTTTTCTTCTTATGGTAACATTGTGGAGCACCAAATTATGATGGATCATAATACTGGAAGGTCGCGGGGTTTTGGCTTTGTAACCTTTGACAGTGAAGATTCTGTTGATAAGATCTTTTCTGATGGTCGCATGCATGAACTTAACGGCAAAGAAGTGAGTTGACAAATTTCCTACAAATTCTTGCTCTTTGGAATACTTTTATGACCTAAGCCTTTGATCTAAAACAATGCAGGTTGAGATAAAGAGGGCTGAGCCAAAAAGATTTGGTTTCGATCATTCAACTGAGGGTCGTTTCCGTGGTAGGGGTAGTAGTTCAAAATCTGCTTGTAGCTATTGTAGTAGTTCAGAAGGTTGTAGAGGTGGATATGGTGGTAAGACGGGTAGAGGCTATGGTGATGGTTATGGCGGATATGGTGGCTACGGTGGTTATGGAAACTTTGCTGGAAATTATGGCGCAGGTGCTCCAGGATTTTATTCAGGCTATGGTGGATATGGCTATGGCTATGGATTTGGTGGACCAATGTATAGTGGGGGTGCGTATGGGGGCGGTGTGTATGGGCTCCGGTTGGTTATGGTGGAAACTGCAGGTTATGGTTTAGGTAAAGGATACAATGTTGGCGGATATGATGGTGGTAGAATTGGCAATGTGCTAAAAATTATTTTGAGCAAGCATGTTTAGTTGGAAGTATCAGCCTCCAATCCAGTACTTTTCCAGGCAATAAGAACCATGTCATCTTCAAAGCTATTCGTTGGAGGTGCAAGCTTTTTGCCTTTTACTTTATTGTCAACTGCTCATTTTTTGCTTCTTGTTAATTATTCTTGTTTTCTAATGCAGGTCTCTCATATAATATGGATGAAATGAGTTTGAGGGAGGCATTCTCCGGATGTGGCGAAGTGGTAGAAGGTACCTGTTGTATCTGTACAATTGACTAAAATTTGAATTTTATGTTGATTTTAGTGGTTTGGTATTTTGATTGCTTCAATGCTACAGATCGATACTCTAGACGGTATCTTGATAAGAATTAACTTCATCTGTGTTGGAAAACTACGTAGATACTGTTGAATGCCAATTTACTAGATTTTCGCTGGTCATTTGTAAATGTTATATCAAGTTTTGCCATATGTCTAACTGTCTATCGGTTTCAATAGTGTTAGAATGATCATAAATATCAATTTGATGAAAGATTTTTGACAATGACAAGCTTGTCTCTTTCCATCATCAGTTGATCTGAGGTTGTTTGTGTAAATGGGATATACTGTTTTCTTGCTTTATTTAACCCCCCCCCAAAAAAAAGTGCCAGAATTAATATCAATACATCTTTTAAACAGTTGGCGATTCTGCTGGTGTCATAGGTGGTGATGTTTCTGATAAATTAAACCTTTATCCTTCAATATCTATTTGTTGCAGCTAGAATAATCATGGATCGTGAGACCAGTAGGTCCCGAGGATTTGGCTTTGTGACCTATACATCAACTGACGAGGCTTGCAGTGCCATTCAAGAACTAGATGGCCAGGTACTTAGTGCAGTGTTGGCATATTTTACAATAGCTGAATCGGGGATGCATCTCCCACTATTGCATAAGCTCATTTTTTGTTAACAAAATGCTATTTTGACATTCAGCAGAAGTGAAATCCCTTTAGATGGATTTTAATATACTCACTATCCAAGATTTATATTTGATCTTTATAAGGATCAGTTTCGTCTCCAGAGATAAATGTATCCCCTTTGCAAATAATTTTACCTACATTATCAGGTGCAGTCCAACATTACAAGAGAGTTTTCTTAAGCATCTACTTTAAGGAATTAATAATTTGGAGTGAAATTAGACTAATGTACAAAAATTGGGAAGCACTGCCTTTGCCTTGAAGGTATCTTTGGTGTAAAGAAATGATACAAGCTTCTTATTTTAGCTGGTTAAGAGCAATGTTTGATTTTTATAATGTCTTGTATATGATTTTTTGAGTTGGATTTTAAAATATAGTTATGGCATTGGAAAAATTGTAATAACGGGAATGTTATTGTTTCTTTTGTTCATATTCTATGCTTGGAAATATGTTTCAGTTGGAAGAGAATTCAAATATTAAAAAAAAAAACGGAGACACGGATCGTGTCTCCGGGCCACACTTAGGCACCGTGTGCGAACATGGAGACAATTTTTTCTGTGGTGTCTACATCACTTACTTCAATATAAAAGCGTGTAAAACTTGGTGCCACGTGTCGTCTTTTCCCATCGTCGTAATTCAATATATATTTTTTTATTTTCATGCATCTCCTCCTGCCCATCACTCCCATTGCCATCTTCCATTTCACACGCAACTTCATCCATACCGCTCTCCTTCATTCATCAATCCACCACCATTCTTTTACTTCCTTTTTTCACTCCTGTTTTTCTTTCCCCATTTTTACGCCACCTAAAATTCTTTGGATTGGAGCTTGGTAAAGGTGGGCACGATGATTTCCATTTTTGTTGGAGTCGATTTATTATCATTGTAGATTTATTTTTTTGCCATGCTTTTTATGCCTGTTTTTCCTTTCCCCATTTCATGGTAATTATTTTTTTTGGTGTTCTGGTTCGATTGAGCGTCATCTAAAGGTGGGTTCTCGTGCATGATTTTCATTTTCGAATTCTTTTAGCTTTGGTTGCAGTCGATTTATTCTGTTTTTTGTATTGTAATGAAGAAATTCTTGCCAGGAGATTTTTAGAAAATTTTTGGTTTATTACTATAACTTGGTTGTTGTGTGAAGAACACCAGTGTGCACACGGAGACGCCGTGTCTCCGTGCCACGGAGAATGTCCTCGTGTGCACGGAGACACCATATCTCCGTGCGCACGGATGTCTCCATGGTGTCTCTGTGCGCACGGATGTCTCCGTGGTACACGGGGACATTCTCCGTTGCGTGTCCGTGACACCACCAACTTTTTTTTTTTTTTTTCTCTTTTAGATTTAATCCTCAACACTTCATATCTTCCTTCCACTTCCTTCAATTTTTAGTAATCTGGTTTTCTCTTTTTAGTATTCAGTTTTAGAGTTTTTAGGCGGTGCAATTGTATGATCATTACCTGAAGAAGCTGAGATTTGAGGTGTCTTCTTGCATTATAGGTCTGTATTTTTATTAGAGTCTTGTGATATATGTAGTTTCAGTTATGAAACTTCAGGGTATGGAGGATTTAGTTTCTTTTTTCGAAATAATGTGAAAAAGATTCAATATTAGGATTTGATAGAGAAATGGAGCAAAGATTTTTCACAGGGTTTTAAGGTGAAGTCTACAGAATAAAGATTTTGTTTAATTTATTTAATTTTTCTAAGCTGGAAAATTTGTGGGATAGTAATGAAACAAACTGCCTATTTAGTTTCATTGAGGAATAAATTATGGGGATTGACTTTAGATGATATTTTTATGAATTGGGTTCTGTGAGAAAATTAAGGAATGTTTCTGGAATTTGTGGAGGCATTAACGATGAACAGTTTGCAACTGGAAATATTTGATTGGTGAAAAATTAGTTTATGTGGTTCCAAGGGAAGAAAATTAGAAAATGAAGTTCAATTCTTGTGAAGATATTAGTCTCTTGAGTTTTGCTAAAATAAATAGGGATAGTGGTGTGTTAGAAAAAAAAAAAAAACCAAGACACGACCCATGTCTCCGTGCTGCACGGAGACATTTTTACATTTTTTTTTTCAGTTGGATACTGATTTATCATAATCTCATGATGAAGTTCATGTTACGGTTTAGCATCTTTCCTGCCTTTTGGTCTACATTTGTAGGTTGATGCATTTGAATCTGCTGACTAATTTTTATTAACATTTGAAGTGAGATTCTCTCAACTTTTTTTGAACTTCTGAATTAAGGTAATTTTGATATTTATGTACTTGTCATGATTGTAGGTGCAGTTAGAAAATCTACCTACCATGGTTGCTGGTGTTTTAACGGATGACGCTGGTAGACAGCTTGAGGCGACTACCCAATTCAGAAAATTGCTGTCCATAGGTTGTTTTTGGGTACATAAAAGTTGTAACTTTGGTATTCCTTTCCTTTAGATTATGGAAATTAGTAAGTTTTTTGCTATAATGGATTTTTTCCAGAACGGAGTCCTCCAATTCATAAGGTAATTCAAGCTGGTGTTGTTCCTCGCCTTGTTGAATTTCTCATGAGGGAAGACTTCCCACAACTTCAGGTCTAACAGCATTACCTATTTAACTTTGAATAATTTTCTTTACAGTAGATTGGGTTTTGTACTAAAACATTTTTATCTGTTATTACTGAGTGAATTGCCTATTTAGTCACTGAACTTTTAGTCATGCACGCTAGGGGTCATTGAACTTTCAAAATAATGCAATTAGTCACTGAACTTTACAAATCGTCATCCCAGCAGTCATTGAGCAAATGTCAGTTAAAAAATTGGACGGAATTTCCACATGGCACCTGATGTGGCACGCCAACTCAATTGATTTAGGCCAACTCGTCAAAATTGCTACACACGTGGCAATTCCCTCATTTTTTTAGACATGTTTTTGTCAAAAAAAAAATGAAAAATGAAAATTTGAAAAATTAATAAAACCTATAACAAGAAACCCTAATTTCTTCAACAAATACAAAATCAGTCATCTGGGTTTAAAAAAGAATTGTAAACTCACGTTAAAAACATTTAATTCAATTACTGGTAACACTAACAATCATGAACCAAGACTAAAAAAAAATAAAAAAAAAATTGTAAATGTATATGCCTATTCAGAACAATAGATTTCGATGGAAATCTCCGCATCAGAGGTGCAAAAGATTTGAGATTTAAGCGATGTAGTAGTAATATGAGTAGGAGAAACTGCCACCGCCGTCGATGAGACGTAGAAGAATTTGATTTTGATTTTTGTGGGCATGTTGGCGCTAAAGGATTGAACCAAAAACGCTTTGCGACCACAAAATCTTTGTTTCTGCCACCATATTTGATGAAAGTAGTAAAAATTGCAGGAAAATAGCTTATTTTGATTGTTTAAGAGATTAATTTGTAGGAAATCTTCAAGCCGAATTGGGAAAACGTGAAGGGAAAATTAGCTTTTATTCTAGGGAGGGTTAGGTTTCCTTAATTTTATAAACAATCCGTGTGAAAAACAAAAGGTCGGTGGGGAGGGAGTTATTAATTTTGCCAATTTCATTTTTTTTTATTTGACAAAAATGTGTTTCAAAAATGAGAGAATTGTCACGTGTGTAGCAATTTTGACGAGCTGGTCTAAATCAATTGAGTCGGTGTGCCACGTCAACTGTCACATGGAAATTCCATCCAATTTTTTAACTGCCGTTTGCTTAGAGTCACTGGGATGACGAATTGTAAAGTTCAGTGACTAGTTTCGTTATTTTGAAAGTTCAGTGACTCCCTGCGTGCATGGCTGAAAGTTCAGTGACTAGATAGACAATTCACTCGTTATTACTACAGTTTGAGGCAGCTTGGGCTCTCACAAATATTGCTTCTGGGACATCTGAGCATACAAAGGTGGTAATTGATCATGAGCCTGTTCCTATTTTTGTGAAACTTCTGTCATTTGGTTTCAGTTACTGTGATTTGATTTGTTGCAATGCATTTTTTAAATCTTACATATAGTAAGTAGATTGTCTGTCCCTTTTGTGTTGCAGGCTGTATGGGCCTTAGGAAATGTGGCCGACGACTCCCCCAAATGCCAAGATCTTGTGCTTGGCTCATTTATTGGCTCAGTTGAATGAACAATGCCAAGTTATCTATGCTCAGAAATGCTACCTGGACACTATCAATTTTTTGCAGAGGCAAGCCGCAGCCTGCTTTTGAACATGTCCATCTCTTATGGCAAGGATCTCATTCTTATTACATTTTGGAGAGATGATGGTTTTCAGAATTGTACAAAAATCATTTGGTAGGATAATAATCATGCTATTCTAGAGGTTTTTATATTCTTTTATTTTCTTTTTTGGCTCTATTATTAAAGAAATGGTAAGATCAGACTTTTTTAATTGACGTTCAGGTTTAGCTTCTACTTTATGTTCACGTACACGACAGGGATCAACTTATATGCTATCATATATTTTCATTGGCATTACTTGAGTTCTCTGGATTTCTCTGGATTCTGGACTTGGATTTGTAATTAAATTGAACCTTTTTTTTTTTAATGAAGAAAACTTTGGTTATTTTTTTTGAAGAAAGGTAATTCATTGATCATCAAAGTAGCAAACAGATACAATGAGGAAAAACCTTCAACAAAATGCCCTTCTCAGAGAGTTGAAGTGTTTCCTATGCACAAGCATAAGCTACAACAACAACCAAACAAGACCAAAACTAAAAAACGGAAGAAAACTTTGGTTATGAACCTTAAGAAAGATATTTGCCGTGACCTTATGGTGTTAATTTTACAGACAAGGGCAGCACTAACTGTTCTTCAGCAACTTGTACATTCAAGTGATGAAGAAGTTTTTGACTGATGCATGCTGGGCTTTGTCATATCTTTCAGCTCGTCGCAACCCCAAAGCCACGCAAATTCGAAAGCTAAAACCCAGAAGTATCCTAATAATCGTCGACGGCCGCCACTTTCTTATGTCCCACTAGATCTGATGTCCCTGATGGAAGTACTTCTTTGAGTAGGAAATCTAATTTTCATTAATGGCTTAATAGCACAAAACGTCCCTACGTTTGGCATGTAGTGTGCAAAACGTCTCTACGTTTCATTTTTTTTGTATTTTCGCCCTTATTTCAACGTATCATTGTGAAAAACGTTATTTTCACTGTTTTTAGTGTAAAATAACCAATATATCATTCTATATAAATAAAACAAAAAAGGAAAAGAAAAATAAATTGTAATTATACTCCCAAACTTTTTAAAAAGTGCAAGTGAGTCCAAAAGCCTTATTAAAAGGCTTAAGCACAAAACGTCCCTACGTTTGACATTTAATGCGGAAAACGTCCCTATGTTTCAAACATGTTTATATTTGCTCAATAACAAAAATGAGAAAGCATAGGGAATGATTCACCTAACTTTCAATTATGATTCAATGAATTCAAATTATTCCAATTGATTTTCTCATATTTAAAGGCAAGAATTCTAATATAATTCTATCCACTCTCTCGAGTGTCGGCTAGAATTTAATCCTAAACTTCAATCCCAATATCTCTATTCTGAACTAAAGCCTAGAATTTACGAGAGTTTCGATTCTTTTATGGAGTAAGCCTCATAGATTTATTATCTTCTCTCAAAAGTGTAAAAACCTACGTCATGTCAATTCTATGATCGTGCCTAATTCCCCATCTCTCAAGTGCCGGAATTGACTACCATCTATTCAGTCAATTATTGATCAGATAATTGAAAACATTATAATTATGACACAATTGAATATAAGCGGGAAATTCAAATAGAAATAATCAAGAAAAAATCATCAATCCATAATTTCAAGTTTGGCTACATCAAATCCTAGACAAATTATCTAATTCATGAATGAATTCATAAGATCTAAACAATTTATAATGAAAAACATTAAGGAGAAAAGTAAGAAAAACTCTTTTGAAGCTTTAATTCAATTTTCCCGTCAATGTTCTTCACGTGTCTTCCTCGGTTTCTTCAACACTTTGATGTATTCCTCTCTTGATTGCATCCCAATGTTCTCTAACTTTCGGCACTTGTGCAACTTGGTCCCAAACTTCACATTTTTGTACTTTTTGATCCCTTTTTCATTCTTTTGCCTTGTTCTATTTCCTTTGGATGATTTTTGCCTACAAAAGCAATAATTACATAATTATGAGTAGAAAATCGCTCATTTTAATCAATAATAAATTTGTTTATGTATTAAATAAGTGTGCAAAAACATACTTATCAGCAAGCAAGCCCTGGCCAGGAGGTCTGACGAGCTTAAGTCAGAGGCCCTTACGTTGCTGCCTCCTGAAGTACAAACGGAAACTGCGACATTCCACAGATTTTAGACTGAAAAGTGGCAGAACTTCTTGGAGACGAGTGATGCTGTGGACGTCATCGCTACGTCAGTGGCTCACGCGGCCAGGTTACTTGGAATTGCCATAGAGGTAGAGGCCCTCTTTAAAAACTTCCAAAGGAAGAATAAGGAGTTTGCCACCAGAGCATCTCAGGCGGAGGAGGCCAAGGTCGAGGCTAAGACATTGGCCAAGAAAGAGAAGGATGAGTCAGTAAAGCTTGCTTCGGCTCTGGAGGAGATGGAAAAGTTGAAGAAGGAAGTTCACTTATCTCAAAGTGAGGTGGCCTCCTTAACGAAGCGGGTGGAGACATTTGACGCCCATCAGAAACTGGAGGCTGAGGCCTTAGAGAAGGCCAACAAAGAGAATGTCGTTTTGAGGGGGAAGGTGGGGGGAATTGACCTCCCAAGTGGCTGGCCTGGCAGAGGAAGTTGAAACCGTCAGAAGTGATACTGAATAGGCTAGTAAAGACGCTGAGAAGACCTTCCCAGCCAACTTCAATTTAACTGAAGCTTACCAAAGTTTTGGGAAGTATTGGAGGAGGTATGCTTATACTGAAGTAATCGAATGGTTGAAGGTCAACACTCAGAACGTCAACACGAGGAGGAGCCTAAAACTCTGTTGGGATGGGACGAAGTTATCGAACTTGATGGAGATGCTGCTGAGAAAGTGGCCCCCAATGCAATTGTGCCTTTTGTGGCTCTTCAGCCCACACCCCCTTAGCATTTTATCTTTATTTTTCACAAATGTAATGGCTTCTGCCCTCTTATTGTAAATATTTTATCAATGAAATGCTATTTTTATTCAATACTTATGACTTTTCGTGCATTAGTAGTATCTCTTCTGAACTCCGACGTTATGACTAACATCAACTTGAGTCTTAAAAAAACCTCAATTGGATAATAACATCAGACGTCTAAAGACTTCACACGCCTAAGTATAATTATGTCTGAGCACAACAACATTGGAGATGCGATAGCATCAAAGTCAATAACTTCAGCATTTGTAACTTATCAAAAGCTAACAATTTCAACATCAAAGTTAACAACATCAAAGGCTAAGTATTCTCAGAGGTATAACAGTATCTGTGGCCAAACTAACTTTGGATACATAGCATACATTTCAACAATGTAATTTAAACTTGGAATTTTCTCAAGTGTTTAAAGGTCATAAGATTTCCTTTAAAAGAAAAGAAATGATACAAACTTCGGAACATGCTTAAATCAAAAGATACTTGCTGAAGTTCTTCTAGTTTCTTAGAACATTTTTAATCAGATGTTTAAAGGTAAAAAATAATTCGATGTTCATACACAGAAATGATTAGATCCTCATGTATACTTGAACTACATTATACACACGTATAGTACTTCGGTCAACAACCCAAAACATTAAAGTTCAGGTTAATTGAGTACCTTTTTTTTTCATTTTCTAAAGTGGAAGGATAAACATGACCCCGAGGCTTTAGCACTGGTTGTCATTCTAGGTTTACCCATGACTTTTCACCAGTATGGACAGTTCGCTCACCCTTCTTCCTAAACATGGGATTGAGTGGTTTGTCCATGCTGATGATTTTTTTTGACGTGTTTAAACATCTTCCTTCCTCTGACTTTTTGCTAGTATGAAGTTCTTTATTTTCAGTATGTGAACTATTTTTCCTTCGTATGGGATTGCGCAGTTGATAAGAATGTAAAATACATAATTTTTCCCTCTTTATTTAATGCACTCGTATGATTATTTTATGCCAAAATGTACTTATTAATCTCATGTTTTGGTTAATGTGGCAATTTGATGGATATGACGTAATTTAGAAGAAATAAGTGGAAAATGACCAAAATGAAAGAAAGCGAAAGTTCAGGGACTGAAATGCAAATACTCAAAAGTTAGGTCAAACCTCACAATGAATTTTTGAGTGTGTTAGAGGTCAATTGGATGAAAAAATAAGTCGAATGGATGAAGTACAATCAAAGAATTATCAAATATCAACTTTCAGGTGAAAAAGTTATGAACCGATTTTTAGTCTCATATTAAGACTTATTTTTGATATGGAAACGATCGAATTAGAAGATTATTTCTGAAGTAAAGTTGTAGCCCTTTGAGTTAGCTTTCTAACGCATCTTGAATCACTTCAATCAGACATCGGGAGTTAAAGATATGACCAAAATACTAAAAATTATCTGGCAAAAAGATTTTATATATGCGTACGCACAAACCTGCAGGCCTTGCGTACGCACAAGACCATTTTTGACTTCCTAAGGCCAAATTCAGTTTACTGTAAGTTGTACTATGCGTACGTATGGTTCATCCCGAGACACAATTTTCAGTTTCCTAAACTGATTCAACTACATATGGAAACCAAGCTCTTCACACCATATAAACCCTAAACTCGACCCAGAACGAGAGAACGCCTCTAAACTCCATTCTTTATTATTTCTCTCTTAGATTCATGAATTGTAACTAAACTTTTACACTTGGTCGATGTAAATTGAAGTTTCGGAACCACATATTGTGAGATCTAAATAATTTTTCTTATTGTTTAATTCTTATTTTGCGTATTGAATATTCTTCTGCACTTATTTTCATGATTGTTATGTTTAATTATTAGGAGGCTTACTAGTTTATTATTCATTACAATCTACCACTAAGTTAAATATCAAATCCGTAATTATTTGATTCCTTTAACTTGTGAAATACTAGGATTTGATGATTTTTTGAGATAGAGGTTATTGAATCTTCAAAAGAATGTTTAAATAGATAGGATGCAACCGCTGGTGTTTGT